CGCTACATCTGATATCAACTTTGGATTAGACCGGTGATCTGAAAATACATACGTTTGCGAACCTGGGTTATCATCTTTGTAAAACTTTTCCAAACCTGCTCGTTTTATTCGTTATTCCTATTACCAAATATTAAACTTTAACCTCAAACGAGAACATATCTTTGTTTGATAGAAGTTTTTCAATGATCAATTGAATCTACTCATGAGTAGCCTGATAATTTCAATGGAGAAATTAAAATTCGTACAAATTCGTGCCTTTTTGTATATCGGAATACAAATCAGCCTCTTTCAGAAACCCTTCTACTGAATAACAGACGATATGGATCGAGTAGTACACAGCAGCCACCCCTAATTGGCCAAGACTCTATGAAGTTTGAAGCGGGATTTAAAATTTTGTGTTTACGATCACAAATGCGCACCAACAAGTGTTGACCTGTTCGAAACTATAGAATGGTCTCTGCAAGTCCAGGTGATTTTCCCCCAAGAATATATGAGAAGGGTATGGCAGAACAACCGGAATCCATCTTGAAAGAAATCGAACTAAGAGGCCACTATTCACAAGCTGGCTTCGGAATCTTGTTGCGACTGGATCCCCGTCAACTTGCGGAATGGATCCGATCAAAAATGAATTTATTTGTGAGCGCATTTTTCACATTCTCTAAGGACATATTGCACCAATTGAGATAAGCCTACATCTGTTAATTACGTTACCTGTGTTATTACTCTTCTGTTTCATGTTAAAGCCAAACAGTTTTAACGATTCGATAGTATTTTGTGAAACTGGAATTCAGGTTTGTAGTGATCCTAGGTTTTCGTAGTAGATCACCAAACATTTTTCAAAATGCTGTTACTACCTATTGGATTAGTACAACGATTTTTTAAATGTTTCCATTAGTACAGAGCATATAGAATAGTTACCTTTTCGGTCAGTCTCTTGTGGCAATGTTTGCCTCACTGCCAATGGTTTACTGCTAACAAGGCGTTTTTATACTTTGGTCAACGGTACAATAGTAAGTTGCATGCTTCACGGCATTTTGTGAGAAACTCAATCGGTAAACCGATCGTCAAACAGCTTTCGGTCCAAGTTTCACGGTATTCCAGTCAATTTCTACAACTTTGGCGCAGATATCATCAAGTCCCCACGGCTCTTTATGCGAGGCATCAAGCGGTCGTCAATTTGTCATTTTCTGAAACTGACTATAATTTTCCTGACGAATCATCCAACCAACACGCGCAGAATAAATCCAAGTTTGCGGATAAAACCGGAGGGCCAAAACAGGGTACGAACAGAATAAAGTGTATTCAAATTCAAATGTGACAAAGTCTGAACATCAAAGTTGCTAGAGGTACAATATGATATTGTGTGATATAGAAATCCACTTGGTGACAGACATCACATCCGCTTCACGTAAAACGCAAGTCGAAGTTCGTGTTATCTTTCTTGTGCTTGCTCCGTTGACGGATGGACCTTCAAATTTCACTCGGATTCTCCCGATCACAATTAGCAGCTGAAGGTAAACCATTAATTAGGCAAACACAACAGAATTTCAAACACACTAATCCGAATCATTGCATCGCATTCAGATAATAAACCGGTCTTCAAATTTCATCTTTGGATTAGACCTGAATTATGCGGTTCATGGGCATTCTGACTACCATGGATAATTGGCCGCATCGGAAAGGCGTATGAATTGGTCCATCAGTCACCGGTTCCCGGAGGATTGTGAACTCCCTGCTCCAATGCGCTGGCACGTGGGTCAGGTGTTTTAACCAAACGCTCCGGGTTGGGTCCCTCAAGAATACACCCTACTTCGGCTCGGGCGACCGGTTAGAACAACGCCCACCGTGTCACAATGGGCCCACAAACTCACATATGCCACAGACTTTTAAACTCTCGCAAAGCTGTTTTTTCTGAGATTCTGCATACTATACTTGCACTCATCTACCAAACAACACCCCCAATTCGAATAGTTCCAGTGACGTGAGTTCATGTTTTAGCTCGTCGATATCCTCCGTGAAATCTGTCTCAACAGTCCTTTGTCACTCAGATCATACCGTTCAGTTTCTTTGACCTCACTCTGCGTTCAAGCTGGCTTTGTTCAACGTAAAACCCCAATGCGTATATAGAACAACGAGCTGGTTTGGTTTGTACCCTCGAAAGTCCGAAGATCCGAACTCCGAACTCCCATTGACATCTCCTTGTCACCCGAAAGAATCGTATCCGTAAACCTAAACGCACGTCTCCGTCACCAGATGTGACCCATTTTGGTGGCCATCATGACCTTCATAGCTGCGATTTTAGATAATGAGGATAGACTTCTGAACAAACACTTAGACCACAGTCAGTTTCTCGTTAGCGTGGACTTCAGACACCCAAAGCGTCACCTCCCCATCGAGCATATTAGCTATAGATGGGAGGATGCTGGAAAAAATGTCTTTCGTACTGACCTACTGACCTACCTTCTTGCGCTCTGATCGCGAACTGGTTTGTGTCAAATTGTTTAGGCGATTTGGTGACCACAAAAAGGTGAAATGCAATCAGCTTGACTTTGCCAAGCTTTGCGACTCGACCGTCTACGACCAAAACGATTCGGTCTCAAGGCTACGTACTATCCCACCAGATAAACACTGGGGAACCATCCAAAATGCAATACACTCAGTTAGCTTGTACAGTTATGCCAAGAAGTTATCATATGCCGGTTACAAATCTGGTTTAATTGGTTTAATCGGTTGGGTAATTCAGGAACCGCGATTGACCACACTTCGGCAAATGACACTCAGGTTTCTGCTG